TATTTTTTATCTAATTTTTTACTATATAAATTAATTCTCACTTCCCTCTATTAATATTTAAATAATTTCAACACTTAACCGCATTTTTTTGATGCAGTCCAAATAACCGAGAACACCGGCCTTCTCTTTCTCCTTCTTATTTTGGTTTTCTAATCGAAGCACCGACACAGTGGCTGAAAATTAGCGTAAACAAGTTAAATTCGATTCTCTCTGCTCCCGCTGGTCTTTCCTCAATGGCTTCTTGATCAGGTATTTCCTCCATCTCGGACTTTCTTGTCATCGTTTTCGTTCTTCTTCAACTCGATCTCGCATCATTTCTCGAGTATTTTCGTAGATTTGTTTACGTTCTGTTTGGTTAGTTAGAAAATGAAGGAAAAGAATACTGAATAGAAGACAAAATCGCGATGATTATTTGATTCCGGTTTTTTTCAGATCAGAATCGTTAAATATGTTGCAAGAATTTAGTTGCATTGACTTTGGATCTCATTTCTTAAAATTTTTTATGCGTAGATTTGATCCGTTATTTTGATAGGAAAATTTGCTGTTTCCGTGTCGAATTTCTGTTAGAGTGAAATAGAAATTATGATGCTATTAGAGATCCTTTTGTTTTGCGTTGTGTACGTTGCGATTCTGGAGGTTAAGATTGTGCATTGTTTTTCAAAGGAAAAATTGGTTGAGAGCGCTATTGACTGGAGAAGTGTGATCAGATCATATGAAGTGCTTACTGGGCGGGATTGGTTCTCTGGCAGTTGATCTAGATGTGTTGTTTCTGCATGTTTCTACACCGAAGACACTTTTTCACAGATTCTTAGAGGTTAGTGTAATGCAGCTGATCTTGATCATCAAAAATAAAAGTGTAATCCAATTGTACCAATATTAGAATGCACACGTTTAATTGCCTTACTATATTTATGAACTTTATGTTTGGTTGCTGGGAACATCTCTCACAGAGAGAGAGAGAGAGAGAGAGAAGTTCCGCCTTTTTTGATTTTTAGCTGCTAGAATTGAATACAGTTACCTTGAAAAATATTTGCCATTTTCAAATAAATATATTTAGCTCAAAAAAGATTGAATATTACTAATAGTTAGTGTGTTAAGGGCTATGGCATAATGTATAACAGTATAAGGGAGCCAATTATACAAGATTTCTGTGAGTTTGGAGGACATATTTTCAAGTTAGACATGTGAATTCATGTGCAGGTAAATAAGGGGAGGTGGAATTCTCTGATATAAACTAATAATTTGTTGCTGTGTGGATCTGCAAGCTGGGAAACAGAGAAAAAAGATTTCCATGGCTGAAAAGGAGGGCGGTGTTGAACTTAAGTTTCGCATTTATGATGGAACAGACATAGGCCATAAGACTTATGCATCATCCATGACTGTTTCAACTCTTAAACAAAAGCTGGTTGCTGAGTGGCCTCAAGGTTATCCATCTACTACTCCATGCTGAACTCTATTTTACTGGAAACTGTATGTTGCATTTTGCTTGTCATCATGTGTTAGTAGCCCAATTTTGAATTTTAGTATGGATTGAAAAATCAAATTATTTGTATAATATTTATGCTTTGTGGTTTTCACTCAGATTTTTCTGTTATTATGCAAACTGTTATTTACCTTTTAATTGTCTAAATGATAATTATCCTGTCATAGGTTCGTAATTCTGCCATTTGAAGGTTTTCTTCTATGATCATTGGTTCACAGTTTAGGCACAATAAGTTGTAATGGTGCTGTGAGTGATAGGCTAAGTAAAATTTCAGTTTTTTGGCCTTTGTGGTTGGTGTAACTGTTAGCAGTTTTTAAGGGTTAATTCCAGTTCACTTGAATGACATTGGTATAGTGAAAATGTTTGTTAGACAATAGAAATGATCAGTAACCTCATTTTTCTGTTCAATATTAATTATTTATGTTTGTTCAAGGTCATTTGAATGACATTGTTCTAGTGAAAATGTTTTATATAGGCAAAATACAAATGGTGTCAAATTTCTGTTGGTCTTTCTTTCCTTTATTCTCAAATTGAATGAATAACTAGTTTGAGATTAAGGTTTAGTTGAGTTTGCTTTGTATAATTGTCTGTTTCCTTAGCAGAATTAATTATGTTTGACCTATGCTTAGGAGTTTGGAGAAAGGGGACGAAAGAGGAAAGAAGGAGGAGACTGTAGATTTATCCATTCCCTGGTTAAATCTTTTACATTCATTGCATCTCTTTAATTTGTTCTGTACTCTTGGCTTTACTGCAGTGTGCAGAAGTCTTGTCCTAACCTTCGCTTTTGTTTTATCATTTCACCATCTTTATATTTAGAAGATTTTGTCTTATCAAACATTTGTGAGATAATTTTTTATTGAAGAGTTGACATGACATTGAAAGGTTTATTTTGTCCAAAACATTGATTTTTTAAGGTGAAGTCATTTCATAACTGGATAGCAATCCATGCATTTGTGGTGTATGCATATGAACATTCACCATTTAAGTTGATGGATTACTTCTTGTGTATACAGACAAATCAGTCATACCAAAGTCAGTAAATGAATTGAAACTTATACATGCTGGTAAAATTTTGGAAAATAACAAGACACTTGCTGATTCAAAAGTAACATTTGGTGACCTTCCTGGTGGTGTTATTACCATGCATGTTCTTGTACAGCCTCCAATAACAAAAAAGAAGACAGGTCTGTTATAACTATATTCTATTTCCTTTTTTTTTTTTTTTTGGTCAGCAACTATCTCTTTGCGTATATATATGGTAGAATTTGTTTTAAAATTGACACCATCTCAATGGGGCACATTGGTTTGCTTCAGATAGATCTGTGATTTCTTTAACTGCTTCAATATCTTATTGGGTCCTAGAGTCCCATCCTCATTTAATTGGTAAGTTTTGCTAATAGAAAGAATAGGTTCATCTTAGAATTGAAACATGCCAATTGCTTTTCTGTTCTCACTACGGGCATCAGCATTAGAGAAGACAATACTAGATTTCTTTCTAGTTTGATTTATAGAGTGGGGTTCAAGACAATACTACATTGTCAAAGATTTTCCCAAAGGACTTGATCATTGGTAGGTATCATATTTGTTAGATAGTGTCCCAAATTTTTGTGTGTTGTTAGGTACTCAGGCATTGAGCATCTAGCTCCTGGAACTTTGACAATTAGCTTAAGAACCTTTTGAACACTGGTTGCTAGGTTCTTCACCAATGTAGCTTATAGGTGTTGACTGAGGTCATGGTTGTATCTTCCCCGTTATCATCATAAGATTATGCACTTCCAAGAATTTACTTATATTTGAATTCTGCCTTTTAAATTGGTTATCCACTTTGTGTGCCTTTCTATTGAGACTAGACTGAACAACCAGTGGGATGAGAGGTGGTCGATGTTGTAAAATAAATATCTTTCCCTTGAGCATGAGTAACCAGAACAAATATTCACTCCCTCCTTTTCCAGAATCTGGTTTAGCCTTTTTGGCTTTTTTGTTACTTGTAATCTGCATATCTTCCAGCTTCCTTTGAGTGTCCATGTGTTGTTATTAGATGGTCTAACATTCCTCCTTTATTTCTATTCTTTTGCCTGCAATTTTTGGGCACTGCAGAAAAGAACGAGGAGGAGTTGAAGAAATTGAACTCGTGTCGCTGTGTAATTCTTTAGATAAGGAAGTTTTATACTTTATGAGCAAGATTTCACACTTGAAATGGCGATCCTGTATAACTAGCGGCCTTGTTATTGTAGACATCCTCAGAGAACTCAGAATGTCAAAATGGACAACTCATTTTGTTCCACATGTGAAATGTCCTTCATTTGTATCCAGACAGCCTTGTAAACATCCTCATAATCATTTTGTTTCATAATATAGTTGTGCAGATGCATTTATGAAATTGTTAAGGAGCTGGGGATGATTTTTCCGGCCCTGATCATCAGAAAAAATTCCCATTGTTGCTTAATTTTGACCAATATATGAGATTGGGATTAAAATCTATTACAGCTTGTTTGGTTTGAGAGGAGAGAAGTGACAATTATTATAATCAATTAAATTATTTTGTTAGTTTAATGACTTAATTTAATTGGTTGAAATAAAGTTATTTCCTCCTCTTTCTTTTTGTTAAATTAAATACGCTATTGAATATATACAAATGAAGCGATCAAAATAAGAATGTCCGTGTTTGAACAATTTAGATTTGTAGCCATGGAGTGTTGTTTCGAGATCTAAGATTGACTTTTGACATTTATTAAGGATGATGAGGTAGATTATTACACAATTGCCATGCCCAGGTTCAAAACCCATAGCCTACATTCCCCCATTCCCAACCCAACAAAAAACTAGAAGGGAAACCATTGTTCATTACCTTTGTTCGCAATAAAAAAAAGAAGTTAAAATATCAATTTGGTTCTTTAACTTTTAGATTTGTATCAAAATTATCCCTCAACTTCAAAAGATACTAAAATTATCCTTAAACTTTAATTTTTAGCACCAAAATCATCCTTAAACTTTAAAGATAACACCAATTTAGTTCTTAAACTTTGAAAACAAGTACTAACTTAGTCTTTGAATTTTGATTACGAATACCAATTTAATTTTTCAATTTTAATTTTATATTAATTTGACAAGTAAATAGAAATATATCACAATAAAAAAATATAACTATTTGATTTTACATGTCATTAATATTTTAAAAAAATTGATTTTGTAGCAAAATAACAAGTTACATGATATTTTTGTTAATAGAATGACATTTTTGGTTTTTAAAATTAAAGTTTAGGGATAATTTTGATATTTTTTTAAGTTAAAGAACAATTTTGGTGTAAATGTGAAAGTTGAGAAACTAAACTTGTATTTTAACCAAAAAATAAGAAATCTTTGTGATAATTGAGTAAGGTGAGGCACTTTGCAGCAGTTTCCTTATTGCAAAAAGGTCATGTGCGATCCATCAGTGAAGGAATACGTTCATGATTTTCCCTTTAAGTCTTGATTAGTTCATGAATACAGAAACAAATTCTCGATAATTTCACATAACAGTTGATGAACACTACAGTAGTATTTTTCTTCTCTCTATCTCCTTTTTTTTTTTTTTTTACATAAAAACATATACTATCCTACTAGGTAGTGTATTTTTAACATAGGTATGTCTTTTTGCGACATGTTTGTTTTTTCTAGGAGGCTCTGACGCTTGTTTTGGATGGACGCCGGCAATATTTCTGCATGATCTTATCTTATCTCATAATGGAAATATGTGGCCTACAAATCATAGCATAATCAAAACCTGTCTGTATACTTTTCTAAACTTCTAGTGCCAGCACCCCTTTCCACCTTATCACATGAAACTTGAGGGTATACATCTGTAAACTTTATACTAACAACTTGTTCATTAAATGGGGTTTTGTGAAACCGCCTCTTAGGATTTACTATCTTTGAGTTAAAATAACTATTTTTTTTTTTTTACTCCGAAAGGAGTGACTAAATAGTTAAAAATTTGAGATTATAAATTTAAGATTTCAAATTCAAACCTTGTGTCGGATGAGAGAATTTAATTATATATGCTATCATTATCTTATAAACAAAAAAAGAAAAAAAAAACTATTAGTTTTTTATTTTGAATTTATTTTAAATTAATTGTCTTTTTTTTTTATTTTTTAAAGTAGACAAGTATTTTTTTTCCCCACTTGAATCCTATCATTATCTATTTATTTTGATTAATTATCTTATCATAAAAAGTCTTATTTTATCCTATTATAATAAATAGTTTCCAAATCCATAATTTGAAAAAAAAAAA